CCCCCCCCCCCCCACAGATAGTCAATAAAATAACCCAAAAAATGGTCCAAATATTAGTCCAAAAATGGTCAAAAAAATCTTTAAAAAAAGTCCAATTGTCCAAGGGTCGAATGGTCCAGTCCATATTTTTTTTCCTAAGAAAAGTGCATTACCCGAATAGCTCATCTTTTGTTTTGATTTGTTTCTTTGTTTGTTTTTCTTGCTGTTTTGTTTGTCTGCTTGTTATGTTACACTTTTCAGCTTTTTTGCCTTTTCCTTTATACATCAGTTCACAGCTATGGTCTTGATTACGACAAGATGCTATGGTGCAAGAGGCGATCATATCTGGCCATGATTTGGGAAGACTTACACACCTCCCTTCTATAAGGCCCCTTCTCCCCCCTTTCCCTCCCCAAAAACAGTTTTGATGGACACCTTCCGTTGGTTAAGCTCTCTTCGAAAAAACATTTACCAACCCCCTCCCCCCCCCCCCCGAAGTTGACCGTTGGCCGCAAAAAGGCAAACAAACAAAAAACGTAATTAAGAGGGTACCGGTAGTCACTAAAGAAACCGTAGAGCTGCGTCGGTGGGAGAGTATAACAGGGTAATTTGGAGCCATCCTACGGTGGAAAAATTTTAACCTTTAGTGGCAACAAAAAGTTCGCCGTAAACAATTTTCTTTCAATTGTAAAGAACAGAAATTAATCGTTATTTGTAAATTGGCAAAATTTTTTACCTCTACCCGTAAAAGCCAGCCATCCCTCTTAGATACCCTCTCATTTTTTAACCCGTGTAGTTCAAAGTTAAAAAATATTTTTGTTTTGTACCTTACTATCAGCCAAGTACTGTGGAATACTGATATGATAACGACTGCTGCTCCCCTTTGGCCGGCCGGGCATGAAGAAACAAGAACTCATTGCTGTGTTACCTGCTCTCTAGCTGCGGGAAGACGAGTTCACAAGCACGACAGTGGCTGGGCGTGGCTGGTGGGTGTGTGTGGCTGTCTTTGTAACGTGTTTACTCTGGGTTGTTCGTATAGTTTTGGTGTCATATACCCGTCACTTTTGGACGAGTTCAAGCGAGGCAAAGCTCAAACAGGTAACAGACTGAAGCCTAAGTTCTTTGCTCTCTTGAATATTGCATAAAGGAACAGATGTCGAGGAAGGATTTATGTGCTCATTTGAATTAGAAAATATCCAAAATTTTTTAGTAACTGAGAAGAAAGGAACTTAGGCTTGGAAACGAAATCCGGAGATTTCAATCCTCAATCAATAGAAGTTATCATTGAATAACATGAATTACATCTAAACCACCGGGTTTTAAGTCAGTAAAGTAACTGTGAGCCGAGGAATACAATGATTTACCTCGACAGCAAATGTATTGGCATGCGAGTAATCGGGTAAACCCTTTTCCTTTTTCCTCCAAGAAAAACTATTTCTTTGGAATATCACGAATATGGGTATACGAACATGAGTTTTTCGGATCAATATCAGTACCTGGGCAACTGCCCACCTACCCCTCCCCTAACTCAACAACAGTCAATTGATAACAAGTTAAGGTTAATGTTGGGTTAGGGGAGGTGTAGGTGGGCAGTTGCCCAGATACTGATATTGATCCGGTTTTTCTTAGCTAGTAGCAGGTGCAATAGAGCTTCTTTGTTTTTGCTTTCGTTTATCCCTGACATGCACATTGACTGGGACTGGATCAACGAATTCCATCACTGCATTGAACACCTTTTTTTCTTTAGCGTGGATTGGCTCCCTTTGCATGTCCTTTACCTTCTTCTTCGGCCCACTGGCGGGAAAACTCTGCGATCGTTTTGGCCCCAGAGCTGTCACAATCATTGGTGCCTTGGTGTCTGTGATCGGACTTGTTGCGACTTCCCAGGCTCGGAATATATTCGTGATATACTTGACATACAGCACCATATTTGCTTTTGGAGGTTGTTGTATCTACACCAGCGTATTTGTCATTGTGCCCAAGTATTTTTTGAAATACCGTTCATTAGCAACTGGAATGATTGCGGCGGGGCCTGGAGCCGGCACATTCGTAATGAGCCCTATTTTAGCACGCTCTATAGAGGAGCTTGGATGGCGTGGGACATTTTTCGTAATGGCTGGTATCATCGCATCTGTTTGTCTCCTTGGTTGTGCATTTGATCCCAACGCTCCGACGAATCCTGCCGAACGAGACGTACATCGTGAGTTTGAGCAAGGCGACAAGAAAAAAAAACATTTGTCACGTAATCCTTCATATTTGCTATTGGTTTTCGTTACAACTATTGTGATATTAGGAAATTCAGTTCCTCAAGTCCATATGGTAAGTGTAACAAAAACTATGCCACAAGAATCCTGAATAGGTTTCTTGTGGCCTTTTTTTTTTGGTAAAACATCTGACAGCCGTGGTTTTCCTCCACCCAGGGTATAAATAAGTAGGGAAATTAAAATTGTCAGCAAACTTGACAAACAACTGGTTAACCGCGACACCCAGTCTAAGGGTAATTGAAATAACGCATGGAAACCTGAATGTACCAAGGAGCCTGTAGATTTAGAAGAATTAGCCTTTACTGCATGCTTCCCGGATATGCTATTGGTCCTACTTTAGTTGGAATTTTATCGTCGGACGATGGGAAACGCGGTAGCTTCGTGTTGGTTTTCGCCAACGGCGGTGTTGGAGGCAGAGTTGTTATTTGAAGTGCAGACCGATAAGATACGGAGCAAATGAAACTCACAGAATCGGAAGTAGAGTACAATTATATCTGATTCTTCCCTATTCGATTCTGTTACGCTAACGACTCCACTTAATTCCGATTTTAAATAGTTCAGAAACGCTCTTGCGACTCTAAGTGCCACTCCGTCGCTAGTGAGAACAAGCCCAGTACATAGCAAGCTAGAACCCAGTTAGAGATGTACAAAGCCAGAATGAACACTGACAGTTATCATAGGCTAAGCACCCCTGAGCCGTCACTTTCTATCACGGTCTGAACCATCCCAATAAAACAACAATGAATGCAATTTATCTTTAGCTCTGTCCTTTATTTATTTTTCTTTCTTTCTAAGGCTCGCTTCTGTGAAGAGAAAGGCATTAGTCTACAAGTTGCCTCGACGCTCTACCTAGTGCTTGGACTGTGCTCAGTTTTCGCCAGAATTTTAGTCGGTCGCATATGTGATTATAAATTCGTTGATCAGCGATTTGTCTACCAAGGATGCCTGTTTGTTCTTGGTTTTTCAACTCTACTCTGTCCATTGGCAAATAGCTTCCCGACTGTGCTCGTTTATTTCATAGCATTTGGTTTGTTTGACGGTGGGCAATCGACTGTGGCAAATGTGTTGGTGTTAACCTCTGTACAAGAACGACAGAAGGCTCGTGCTTTTGGATTGTGGCTGTTTTGTCTGTCAATCATAATGGCTTGTGGACCGCCCCTTGCAGGTAGGTAGACAGATCCCCTGCTATTGCTTACGTATTGAATATGTGCAAATAGCTCTAGACACAGTCCCCTGACGTTTCTCCAGACACTGATGTCGTTTCGCTTAAACTCACGACTGAGTGCATTTACCATATAGTTAAGATGTAAAAAAAGGACTTTCCGAACTTTACTCATAAGTTCTACATTGACTCATTGAAGAATACTCGATTCATTTCCAGGTTACATTGCGGACTCCACGGGTTCATACGCGCCTGCATTCTATTTGGCAGGCGGTAGCATCATAACTGGTGCCAGCGCTTTCTTCGTAATGTACTTCCTAAAAAGAAACGCGGAGGAGATGGAATTGCAAACCGAGCTTGTTGTAATAGAAAAAGTTACAGTTGTGTGACATGTAAGGTTTTTACAAAAAAAATAGTTGCTGCACTGACTGAGGGCTAATTTCTTGCCAAATGGCAGTGAACTTATCAACCCTCTTTCCGTTGAGTTATAGTTCATTATGGTTACACTATAGTACGTTCACTATATCACACAACGCTCTTCCTTAGGGAAGAGCGTTGTGTGATATCCCAAACAACGGCTGGTAATGAGACTATGGCCAGCCCAAAGTTTTAAAAGTAGACTTGTGATAAACAGTGATAAAGAAGGCTACATATCCATTCCCTTTCTGACGGAAAGGAGCGCGCGCTCTCATCCCGATCAGCTGGTGGTAATCGAGCCCAGAGGTGAAGATCAGTGAGACCTTACCTCGTCTTTGTCAAGACGCTGGAGCAGAGTGCGCAGAAATCGATTATGTTACCATCTTTTTATAAGGAGGGAAAAGTAGTGTAAACTATCGTTATTGAAATGATCTAAGATGCTGGGACAGCAGAAAAGACGAGGGCCTTTCGAAGCTGAGATAATCCACTTGGTAAGTTAGTCATCCGCCATACAATTTTACTCTCACTTCTCTTTAGAGTGAGGGATGATTCTTTTAAAGAGAAAGGTTTTTTTCGGTACAGTTTGAAATTACAACTGGCTTCTCTGTAATGGGAAAGAGTGCATGGTATAAGCGATGTGATGAACCTGTCGATTATTGGCTGCCAGTGAAGCGAAAATTAACTTCTGCTTACTCTATACCTTCAGGGAATGATTTAACTGATTTTGAGGAAAGTGGCGCCATGTTTTCTTGTGATAAGAATTCGGTCTATATGAGGATGGAGTTCGTAACCCACCTGGGCATAGTTTTTTATCGCCGGGTTTTTTTTGCCTTTAAAGATGCCGAAAATTGCGATGTTTCATCATGTTCTGCACTAAATGCAAATTAGGGTCGAATACTGACATGGCTAACTTTTCTTGCTCCGAAACAAAAACATCCAATTGAAAAGAAAAGTGATTTAGCTCCACATCTGGAGGTTAGACACGTTCTTGAGTGGACTAATTGCTTCAAAATTTAACACGTTTTAATTACAGACATCTGTTACTGTTGGGAGTCGTTTGTTTATTTAGAGTTTTCCGCAAACTCGCTTGTCACGCGATAAAGTACTGGGCAGAACTTACGAACAGAAACCACAAAAAACACATTTTGTCTAGTCACGTCTCGCCAGCACTTAGTTTCTTTTATTAATTACCCAAGGCATTATCAGGTTATAGAGTAGCGTCAGATAAATCAGTAGTGCTCTAATATGCGAGCAGTATGCTTTTGACCGTCAACCCTGAATACATAATATTCTGCCAAAAATTATGCTTATGAATTTGTATTATGCTTCATACAATAACTCAACTTAAGATCATTTAATAACCATCCATTATGCTCAAAATTATGCCGGCATGATTCATCAGAGCCTACCATTAAATGCCCTTTGAAAATATATTTCGATTTTAATTTTTAAATTTTTTAAGTTTAAAGATATATTTTTATTGTTTGTTATGGAAACCAGCATAGTCAGCATATTGCAAGCTAGACCCCAGATCGAGAAGAGAGTCTCAATGGGGTGATGGCTTTTACGACTAACGGTTAATATTTTGGTCATTTTACGGCTTTTGGTTAATTTTTTCCTTTGTTGCTGAAAAGAAATTTTATGGTTAAGATTTTTTACAACTAACGGATGAAATTCGTCAATTTTTACAACTAACGGTTAAAATTTACCGCTGTTTTACGGCTAATAATTAAACCATTGAGGTTCTCTACACACTGAGAATAAGCACCGGCAGTTATTGTAGGCCAAGCACCTCTAGGACGTCATCTTTTATCACGAACTGAATCATCCCAATAACACAACAGTGAGGCACTTATATCTATTTTTAGCTTTCTTCCTCATTTTGTCTATTTGCATTACTTTCTAAGGCTCGCTATTGGGAAGAGAAAGGCTTTAGTTTACAGCTTGCTTCAAAACTTCACTTAGTGCTCGGACTGTGTTCAGTTATATCCAGAATTTTAGTAGGACGCCTGTGTGACTTTAAATTCGCTAATCGCCGATATGTCTTCCGAGGATGCATGTTTGTTCTTCGTTTTTCAACGCTTCTCTGTTCATTTGCGAGTAGCTTTTCGAGTTTACTCGGTTATTCCATAATATTTGGTTTATTTCACGGTAGCTTATCGACTGTGGTAAATGTGTTGGTGTTAACCTCTGTTCATGAAGGACAAAGGGCTCTAGCCCTTGGATTTTGGCTGTTTTGTATGTCAATCATGATTGTTTGTGGACCGCCCCTTGCAAGTAGGTAAACAGATTCCTTGCCATTGCTCACGTGATGATTATATCAAGGTTCGCACGGGTCCTGGAAAACTTGGAAAGTCCAGGAATTGTATTTTCACTTTTGAGACTACAGGTCCTGGAAAGTCCTGGAAATCTGCTCAACTAAAGCGAAACTGATTTTCCAGAATTTACGTTATAAGAAATGTACGTAGACCATAAGGAGAATTGCTTTTGAAAACTTGGGAATGAAAGATTTAAGGTGAAATTTGGAGTCCTGAAAAAATCAATCCGAGTCCTGGAGAACTCCTTGAAATTTATTTTTGAAAAAGGGTACGAATCATGTCATACGAAAAAGTTTCCATCCTTAGTCTTCAGCCGTTACTGTTGGTCCGCCTACACCCATGGCTGAATACTATAGAGTTAAGGGACCAACTTACCATTATCGCTTGGGGTGGAGGGGATGGGAGATTTTGGGGTGATCGCATGGTTTTCAGAGTTAACTGAGCTCGAGGCGGGATCAGTCGTCGCCGGTAAAGTATGAAGGGGGAACTATTGAAAATAGACTGACACTTAACTGCCAATGAGGGGGGATAAGGAAAATTTTATCGTGACATAACCAAAATCCCCCCCTCCCTTCCCCCAGGTGATGTATAAAGACCAATCTCTACATTGGCTCATTCAATATTTCTGTTGATTCATTTCCAGGTTACATTGCGGACTCTACGGGCACATACGCGCCCGCATTCTACACAGCAGGCGGTAGCATTTTAACTGCTGCAGCGTTTTCTTCGTGATATACTTGTCTTTCTAAATAATGTCGCAGCGGAGTTGGAATCAGAAACCGAACTTATAACAACAGAAAAGGTTACAATTGTGTGACATGTAAGTGAGATGTCGACAAATAGATCATTTACCTTATTATAAACTGAATACAAATTCCTTGCCGAATGGCCATGAATTTGACAACCCTTGAACAAGCAGGAAAGTAACTCTACTGTGAAAAAAAAGAAAAGAAAAAAAAGGGGAACGCTGAAGATTGAACCCGGCATCTCAGCTCACCCCTTTAAGCTTTCAAGCAGAAATGTTCTAGATGATCCTAGCAATGATGAGGCTCAAATGGAGTGTTAGGGCAAAAGTAATAATCGCCCGTGGGGGAGGGGGGTCGGAGGATTTTGGGGAGGATCACACGGTTTCCAGGGGAGACGGAGTAAATTACAAATTATTTACTGCCAATGAGGAGGGGGGGGGGGAAGGGGAGGGTTTGTAAGAATATTACAGAACCTTATGGGATGGGGAGGTCAGGTAAATTTTATCTGTCACACTCAAAATCCTCCGATATCCCTTCCCCACCCCTGGAGATATGACAGGTGACTTACCTCATCTAAGATTGCCGACAAGATGGAAGCCATATTGAAGATTTCATTGACTTGAATTTAAACCTGTGACGGGTACGAAGCCGATTCAAGTCCTAACTTGTCATTTTAGGTTTTTTTGATGCGATTTTATTTTTCCATTTATTACGTCAAAGATGATGTTTCCATTTAACGTGATAATAACCAAACAGATTTAAAGTTCAGGTTTCTCTTGCAGTTTGCACTAATGCACGGAATCAGGATTGAAAGTGTTAAAATCGTTATTTATTTTTAACCTCTCTTTGACTGTTTATCTTGCTCAACACCTTTTTCTGCTGAGAATACTATGCGATAATCTGCGTT